TCAAGGTATGGCACAAGGCCAAAGCAAGCAAGTCCTGGCAGATTCAGCCAGAAAAAAAAATAAGAGCTCACCAGGCATGATGGCTCACACCTGCAATCCCAGCACATGGGTGGCTGAGGCAAGGAAGATCCAGAGTTGAAGACACAGCTTGGGCTATATAGGGAGATCTTGAGTCAAAAAAAAAAAAAAAAAAAACCACTAGCAAGAACTCTTTTTAGATTCAGACAGATTCTTATTTACACTTATGAGAAAAAAGCAGTCAAGGGTATCACGTTCCCACAGCCTTTGTGCTGGGTGATATCAACACAAAAGCAACAATACAGCAGAAGTAATGGGAGACCTTGTTGAGCTAAGGCCATGCTGCAGCTAAGCAATTTGATAACCTACAGTTGTTCCTGAAGGGGAGCAAAGGTAGTAAGCCCCAGGTCTCACAGAAACGAGGAGAAGAGCAGTTAAGAAAGACATCCTCCTACAGACAAGACATCCTTCTACAATCTAGGAAACCTCCCAGAAGAAAAGCTGTTAAGAAAACGACCATGTAAGAAGTCCTCACAACACTGACTATCTTGCCATGTTCTTGGGAGAATCATAAGGTGTTCCAGCAAGATTAAGGTCAGTCTTTTTTTGTTGCCATTTTTTGGCAGTACTGGGGTTTGAACTGAAGACCTCATGCTTACTATGTAGGAGCACTACTACTTAGGCAACTCCACCAGCCCAAGTCTGAGGTCACTCTGAGGTTCAAGATCTACCTGCATGACCTACCTGAATACATTCAAGGTCACCAAGATACCATTCTGGAGTCATTGCCCTAGATACAAGAAAAGAATGCTATGTTTAAAAGGGAAATTCAGAAAATACAAATAGCAAAAAGATCTCTGGGCTATTAAAAATATGATAGAATTTTTCAACCATAAGAAGAACTGGAAAGGAAAATTGAGAAAATAGGAGAAAGTGGAATAAAATATGAAAAAATGGAAAATTAAGAAAGTGTACAACAATAAAATCAGGCCCAGATATATCTAAATAAAATGACTGCCAGAAAAATAGGGGGAAAAAACACTTAAGTTCTTTAAAAAAAACTTCTTAGTACTTAATGACAGGAATTTCCCCACTGGTGATTTTAAGTTAATAGATGAAAAATTATCTATACCCTGAACACATCAAGAAATTTCAGAATAGCATCAAGAAATTTCAGAATAGTGGGGATAAAGATCAGATCCCGATAACTTCCAAAGAGAAAGTAACAGAATACACATTAAGTATCAAGAATCAGAATGAGAAACGAATTCTCAGTTGTTTCAATGATAAGTTGAAAGGCTCATCTACACTCACATAAAGTTTCAATAGAGCATATGGACAGAATTGAACTATGCTGAGTCACACTGATGAATCAAACCCACTTATTGTTCATGAAATCTTTCACATGAAGCTCTAAGAAAGGGTATGCCACCAAAACAAGGGACTAAACCAAAAGAGGAAGATAGCTTATTCAGGAAATGGGACACCAACATGAGAGGTAAAGGGCAATCAACCTAGATTATCACAGAACAGAGAGCACCAGGAGAAATGTCTTTAAAGAAAAAAAAAAAAGATTAGACAATGTACCTGAACCTAGTAAGAGGAGACTTATACTTCCAGAGGTCGGCTTGGGTATAAAATTAATATATAGAGAACATTAAGCAAATAAAATTACTAATGGCAAAAATCTTAAAACAAAAATTTAACCAAACAAGGAAATGTAATTATAGATAACATAATCCAGCTATGAATAGTAATTCTATGGTACAAATATCAAATACTAACTTTACCAGAAAGTGTGACAGGACTGCACTGTATAGGGAGGATGAAGGAGGAAGGTGTGTGTTCAGGACACAGAAGAACTAGAGCTTAATCTTCATATTTCAAAACACATCAACAGATAAACTCTAAAGCTGAAATACCATGGCATAATATAATAACTGTGTTAACACCGACACAAATACTCCAGAACACAGCTAAAAGATTTCAAAATGGTTATCTCTCACTAGTAACAGTTGGGTATAAAAAGGACAGGGAAAGAAAGTGCTATTTTTCACTCTAAGCTTTGAGGGGAGGGGCCCAACTTTATTTGACTTAAAATTATTTACCTATTATTTTCCTATTATTTTGAAATAAATAAGACAGTAAGTTAAACATAACCTAAGTTTATGGACCAAAGTGCATAATTCTAGGTAATATACTTACCAAGAGATTGCTTATAATGAAGACTACAGTAGGTAAAAGAAAAAATAGGAAGCAACTAGACTGTTGCTCTTACCAAGCAATAGTAAGGGACAAAGAGAGACTAAATAGATTGCTTCGTTTTAAATTGCAAGGGGAGGAGAATGGAGAAGAAACATTTGTTTCTACAAAATTTATGGTGTTCTATATTGGAATTGCAGACTATGGTAGCTGAAAGAAATACGTATTTGACTAACAGTTTATTTCCCTCGTTTTATAGCTACTTGGACACAAGCAACTAAGTAGAGCAGAATCAGAACCCTCTGCTCTTAACTCTCACATTCTTTTTAGTGCATCACAAATCATCTTAAAACAACTTAAATATTAAGGGAATAGCTGAGTGCCTACTGAAACATCCATTGCCACTTCTCTGCTTGAAAAAAGGGAGTGATGGTACACACCTGCAAATCCAGCACTTGAGAAGCTGAAGCAAGTTAGAGGTAAGTCTGGGCTACATTCTAATACCCTGTCTCAAAAAAAACAAAAAATAAAGCAAAAACAAATTAAAAAGGAGTCTATTTGAATATAAAATATAAAAGAAAATGTGAAAATAACTAAAAATGAAGTTTGAAGTTTAAATACTGATCTTTTACTTTTTAAGAATAGAAGCTGGTCATGGTGGTAACATGCCTGTAATCCCACCACTTGGGAGGCTAAAACAGGAGGACATGAGTTTGAGGACAGTCAGGGCTACAAAGCAAGAAGACACTGTCCCAAAAAAAAGAAGAAGAGAAAGGAAAAGGAGGGAGGACCAAGAATTTTAGAAACTTTCAGACTTTCAGACTGCCCAAACATTTGGCCCAAAGTGAAGATGCGTCCCCTCCTTTATCTACCTTGAAATGGCACTGAAAAATGTCTATTTTATTACAATTTGAATTACTGCTCAAATGATTCAGAATGCCTTTACTGAGATAACTAATCATGCCCTAGGATCTAACATTTTGCTGAAAATAGGTCTTGGCAAAAAGATTTATAAGGAAAAGGATATACTACCTGATAGTCTTAAGGAATTGGTGGTGTTCAACAGAGAGATATGAAGTTGTGGGGTGATTTTTCATAATTGGAATGTTTTACTGGTAACTGCTGATGGTTTTTTAGGATATATCTGAATATGTAGGAACACCAAGGCTTATGGCTTAAGACAACTGCTCATTAATGCAGAAGACACATTACCAGCTGCCACACAGCATTCAAGATTTGGATTGAAGCCAGGCATTGCACATCTGTAATCTCAGCACTGGGGAGAATGAAGCAGGGGGATCTTGAGTTTGAGACTAGCCTGGACTACATATCAAGTTCGAGGCCAGTCTGAGCAACATAGCAAGACGTTACCTCAAAAAAAAAATAGAGAAAATGTTTGGATCAATTTCCTAGTTAAATATTATGATTATCTGACATTAAATGGAAACTCTGGCTGCAATTTTTGTGATTTTAAACTCATAAAGAAAATGTTTAGGAAACTAAATGTTTAGGATTAAACATTTTCTTTACCTTAACAAAAGGAAGAAATTAAGCATAAAAAGAAGCAGTGCCTGTATCTTTATTAATCAGTCTATTCCATGCTAAAATCTATACCGAAACATCTCTGGGTTTAAGATCTGAACAAGGCTGAAAACCTTAGAAGAATTCAATAACTACCTGTGAACTGATGATTTAAATGGCAGCATCAGATCAACATGTGGTATTTTCCCGTTACTTAGGCATTTCTAAAACAAAGTCATTCTCATTCTTTAAAGCCAATCATTTTCAGAAAGTATTTAAGTCTTTCAACATGAAAAATAAAGAATAAGAAAAAAGGCTGTTTTTTTTTAAAGGTAGGAATCTAAGTAGCCTTCAATTTGTTCAGTTCATTCTATCTCACACATATCTACTCCAAACATCCTTTAAACCACTCTGCACACTAAATAACACAGGCACACAAAGCTTTATGAAGGTAGTGACTAATCTAACAATACTCACACCTTTTCCTACTCTTGTATGTTTAATCATATGAATGCCACCTATTATATTTCATAATTAGTAAGGAGTACTGTTCTATAATATTTTATTACTTAACTTTTAGTTTAAGTTGGAAGAGAAAAATTATTTTACTATAATCAATGCTTTTTCATCTTGAAGCAGTAACAATGAGAACTATTTAAATCATACCCATGTTTACCAACCTAAGAGAAGCATTTCAAATGATAAAGGCTTCTGTGGTTCATTAGAAAGATTCCAAAATTCAGAGAAGGGGGAAAAAAATACAGGATTATTTAAAGGCTTATTCAGGAACAAAACATAAATTTGTAACTGTAACACCAATTATTCATAAATATCTTCCATGTCCACTTAAAAACCCTTTAAAATTAACATACACTAAAAGTCAGCTAATAAAACACAATCCCTACAAATTGTGTCTAAGGAGAATCCTCATATTATGTTAGTAATATGTACTTTGTAGAGTATGGCTTATATATTTATTATCAAATATAAAAACAGATCTATATTTTAGAAAAAAATTAGTTTATTTTAAGTTAAGGGACACTACCTAACTTTATTTTGGTATCAAATAACTTCAACTGGCAATGAGGGAAAAGCATCTTAATTGTGGCAAAATGCTTATTTGTTTACAAAAACTATAAAAAATTAGATAAATTATAACATGAACTTATCAAAGGTTCTTGAAATTAATTTACTCTGGGTAAAGTACCAAAAGTCTTCAGATCCAGAATGATAGCCTTTTATTATTTTGATTCATGGAATTATAGCACATTAGATCTTCAAGCAACAACATCAGATAAAACCCTGTATGATAAAATATTCCCCTTTTCTTGATAGCCTGGAATGTAAATGAATATTTGTTCTATTTTACTGCAGAAAAAAAACTTGAACAAAGTGCCCAATAGGATCAAATACTTGTTAGGATGGCTTGTCTGCTGAAATTAAGCAAGGGCAATTAGTTCTACATTATTAAAAACTGTCTTAAATTGAGTTTTCTGTTTATTAAAAAAAAGTTATTCTCAACCATTCCAGATCGCTAAGCCTTACAACAAAAACTGTTATTCAGTTTGAATTAGGAAATCCACATCCACAGAAGGCATTTTCAAAACCATTCATATTTTAAAAGTGAATAAACACAAAACTAAATTTCTTACAGTCAACAAATCTAGGAGCAATAATTTAATATTCTGCTGAAAAATAAAGGAAGCCTTAAGAGAAACATGCTTGGTCAAATCTTTCTTAAAGCTCTTGGATCTGTGGCCAAAACATTTAAAAACAAAAGAAAAAATATTAATGATTCTTTCCTAAAGCTTTTTAAGATGTTAATTTGCAGGCATAGCTAAATAATCACCTAAAAGTGTATCCAAGCTATCCAACTATATTTGCCATGAATTCAAACATACATTTTTAATATAAAAAGTTTTTTAAAAACATATTTTAATTCTAAGATGAGCTTACTTAATAAGGGTTACATGAAAAATATCACATAAGACCCAAAATAAACTTCAGATACAAAATTATATGATGTGGCTTCATTCAAACACACCTAAAATTCAAACTCAAGTAAGTAACTAGGCTGGCTTTTTTATGTCACCAGCTTTCATCAGGGCCTTAATCGCTCTTGCCCTCATCTCAAGTTCTAGCAGCTCCAGTTGCTGTGCAGAAGGCTGAACATCTTCTGGTGGAGGAACAGTCACGGTGGCTGCCTTGGGTTCCTTTGGGCTAGACTCTGCCAGTCCCAGAATCTCATTCACACTTTTTTCAATATCTTTCTCCAGGTCATCTATCTGACCAGCTTCACTTTGGATTGTGTTTTCTGGGGCCTCAGGAGCAGCCGCTTCTTCGTTGCATGGGCCTTCTATGTCGCTGTCATAAGCATCTGCATTTATACTGAGTACATCGCTATCTTCCCCTTTGCCTGTAATGAACAAAAAAAAAAAAAAAAAAAAAAAAAAAAGGAGGGGGAAAGGAAAGAACCATGTAACCTAAATGCCCTAGGTCAGAAAAGTCTTACTGTTTATGATTAAAGAGCTTCTTTCACCCCACCTCCCACCATAAAGTCCCAAGTACATTCCATTATTCCCCATTCCAATCCCTTCTTCCCTGACTCTTCGACTTCAAAACAAATTGAATTTCATGGAAATCCTAATGTACTTTTCATTCCAAGTTAGTAAGACACAGAAGCACTGAGAAACATTCCATCACAGAAAGTTCCTATGATCCTTTTCCTAATTAAAATGTTATAATGTTTTATATCACAGTGAAGCTTCTGCATTATAAAATGAAAGCAGATGCTGGAAACTCTTTGTCATTAAAGAAAATTTCATTCCAGAAGATATTTAAAATACATTGATTTATTAACTAAAAAAAAAAGAAGCAAGCTGGATACTACGTACTTTACAATTATCCCAAACTTTTCATATGCTATTTCAAACACTTGGTTCTGAATTAATAAATTAAAGGAGAATACCTAAGGCCATTTTCTAAGATAAAATACGTATTCATGAGGAGGATTTTAATTAATAAAGTTAATACACCATCATTTTTAAAAATGCATTTATATAAAACTTCTATAACTGATGTTGGGACTTGGAATATAAATACAGATTATGACTCTCAACAACCTTGGCCTTTGCGTTGGATATTACTCAACTTCAGACATCATTTACAACTAAGAATATTCTTATTACTCCAATTTATTTATATTTTAAGTACCTAATATGTTTTTTATTTGAAGAATTATTTTCAGGGCTGGGGATGTAGCTCAGTAGTAGAGCACTTCCTTTGTATGGGCAAGGCCCTGGGCTTAGTCCCCAGCACTGCAAACTGCAAAAGAGGAGTCTTAAAATGTTGGCTTTCATAGATAAAATGTTGGTTTTTCATAAGAAAAACTTACTTACAAAACATAGATTGGCAGATGGAAAATTCTGATAACAGAATGTACAGGAGGGGTGTAAACAATTCTACTCCATTGTTTTTTTAACAGTTTATTTCCTGATCTTAACCAATTCTCCTATATCCTTACAAAGCAAAACACCACTCCCTATTCAAAAATTGAAATAGAAAAAATGAATGAGAAATTTTTGTGTCCACAAATAGAATGAGTAAAAAAAAAAGGTGGGGGGAGATGATTTTAATTATTTGATGCCAAAGAACAATTTACATATCTCCCCCAACACTTGGGAAATAAAACTATTTCCAAAAATCAAGAGAAAAATTATAGAAAACAAAAATGGACTTTTGTCTAAAGAAATGTTTTATATATATATTCTAATGTGAGACAAAAATTAGAAAAGAAGTGCTCAGCTGTTCAAAGCTTCACGTCCATTTCAGTGCCTGGCAATCTTTAACCTAATGCTCTAAATCTGTAGTCACTAATTCTGAATGAGAATCTATAGGCTGTTTAAAAGATTTTAAAACATAAACTTTTGAAATATGTGATTTTTTTCGGGTTAGAGGTTACTGCCAGATAATGAACAAAGAGTCAAAGAATATGGGTGCCTAGGGAGAGAGGGAAAATACGAAGTTGGGATAGCAGAGTCCTAATCCTGCTCTGGAAGCATGTGCTTTGCATAAATCCTGAACCCTCTCAGTTTCTCTCCTATAAAAATGAGGGAAAATTATCCTAGAATATGACTGAAGTTCAAGGTCTAATTTAATAGTAATTAAGTCTTCATAAAAATATGTAAACTGCCACACCTCAAATATTCTTCTTCCTCTAAGATATGGTTACCTCTCTTCTTTCACTTAGTATATGCATCAACTAGATAATAGTGACAAAAGAATTTCTTACTGGCAGCAGAAGCTACAATTAACAATTGTTAAGTGAGTATACTCATACTCTCACTTAATTTGGATAATTTTTAAAGTCCATTTTTATAAGCTTATTTAAGATATAATTACAGCTGAAGACACACTTTACCCTGCACTTACATAATAAAATCTACACGTTATAAAATTATCAGCATCAGAGATTCAGGATCAAAATGTTTACATGCAGAAAGTCTCAATATTTCAAAGGAAAACTGTGAACAAAAAATTTTCATTTATGTTTCCTACAAGTATTCTTCAAACACCCCCCCACACACACACCAGGGGTACTGAGGGATTGAACTTAGAGCCTAGTGCTTTTTAGGCAGGCGCTCTATCACTTGAGTCACTCTACCAGCCCTTTTTGTGCTGGGTATTTTTGAAATAGGGTCTCACTTTATGACTGGACTGGACTGGCCTGGACTGGGATTCTATTTGTGTTCCCCACATAGCTGGGATGAAAGGCACGCACTGCCATGACCAGCTATTGGTTGAGATGAGGTATGGAAAATTATTTGCTCAGGCTGACCTTGGACTGCAATCCTCCCTATCTCCACCTTCTGAGTAGCTCATGTAACAGCTCAAACTTTTTAGTGGGAAAAAGTTAGGCTTTGCTTTTCTTTGTTTTAGTGACAACTGTCACTAAAGAAAGGCTTTATAAATTTGGTGTTCTGTTTGCATTCAAAATTATCCAAAATCCAGAAGCCTTGAGTTCTCTGTAACACAACATTGCTGAAGGCATTCACAGGTTTCATCTGTCCATTATAGCTCCACCACAGCTGCCAAATCTTGGTAGAATTATGTACTTGAAATGACTTAGCATGAGAATTTTATTTCACAAATTTAAGAACAAGTAACTCATACAACAGGGCACAAGGAATTACTTGCAGATCTTAGAATCATACTTCTACTATTTCTTAATTTCTATCATTTCAATAGAATTTGATCAGTAACTCACTTCTTAAAAGTATCATTTGCAAACATATGACTACATTTCCAAAGATAATTTGCTCTCATCCTCTCATCATTAGTAGTAGGAAATTGTAGGGGTTTCTATCAATTATGACCCTCTATATGTAAAATTTACACATTCTTTTTAAAGAAGTGACTTTACTTCAAATGCCTCATTCAAAGTCCTTAAAATTTCAATGTGGTTATGTTCTGTCCTTCTGAACCTCCACTGAGTGGGGTGAGAGAGAAACAGAGAGATGAGAGATGAGAGAGAGAGAATGAGAATATGAGACTATGAATACAAGTGCTTGCTTGTGGGTTTTCTGCAGATGGAAGATCTGAGTACCCACATAAGTTGCGTAAGAATTCTACAAAGAGGCTGGGTATGGTGACTCAAGTCTATAATCCTAGCTACTCAGGAGGTAGAGAATGGGGAGCTGCAGTTCAAGGCCAGCCTAGGCAAAAACTTCACAAGACTCCATCTCAAGCAACGGCTGGATGTGGTGGTGCACACCTGTCATTCCAGCTACACAGGAAAGCACAATAGGAGGATCACAGTCCAAGCCAGCCCCAAAATAAAGCAAGACCCTATATCAAAATAACCAACAAAAAGGGCTAGCAACATGGCTCACAGGGTAGAGCATCTGCCTAGCAAGCACAAGGCTCAGAGTTCAATCTCAATTTTAGCAAAAAAAAAGAAAGGAAAAATAACTCCACAAAGATAGGAGCATCTTCAAGTCTTCACAACAAGTCATAGCAACAAGTCAATCTGAAAGGTAAATTATTTCTATTCCTTTAAACAAAACCTAATCAATAGTAAGAGATAAAACAGGTAATGTGATGCCTATTTAAATAAAGTTTTAGAATTAGTTTTCAGAAAGTTATGTTTAAAAGCTGTTTTAGTAATAATCAGAATGATGTAACATGATTTATGGTAAAAATATCAAGAATGAGTTATGAACTAACTAGCTGTTTGAACTTACAAAGGCACTACTACTTAAGCCCACTTAATTGTTCAAGCTTTAATTAAGACCTAAAGGAAAAAAGAAAATAAGAAGTCATCTTAAAGTATGCATGATAAAAACTAAGATTATTGAAATCCAGGAAGAAAAATAAAATACAAATGCATCACAGTTAAAATATTAAAAATGTAATTAAAAATAACAACATTACAAATTCAAGCTATGAACTAACTATAAAAGGCATGATAATCAAAAGTAGTGCAGGGAAGAGAGTAAGCAAAAACTTAGACCCAAGTTACCGTTGTCATGGAGGAGAAGAATTGGAGTAACTTTAAACAATTCACAAAGAAACAAGAGCATATGATATATTCCTTGTACTAATTCTGTAATTATTCCTCCAGTAATATTACATACTGTTTAGAGCACTTCAGAGAGAAGCAATACAAATAAACAAGTAGACAAACACCTTATGGGAAAGGATTAAAGGGCTTTACGAGTTTTGCTAGGCAATGGTCACAAGAAAACAAAGTAAAAGTTCAAAGACTGTTCAAGGAAAAAGTAGTAAAGAGAACAGGGATTTACATCTCTCATGGTTGGTACCCTGGTGAACTACTCACCAGCATAGATTCTATCACATTTTCCTCTAGTGAGTATATTTCAATTTCTCTTCTTTTCATTTTCCTACCAACTTGACTCACAGCCCAAACCCAGCATCTAAGTACTAAAGAGATTTTAAATGAAAAAACCAACCCATCTAGAGTCAGTATCTAGATAGCAATATGAATCAATCATTACTCAAATTCACCACTGACACAGATGAATAAATGGAATAGTTTATCAGAGAAATATTTATTTATATTATTCAATGAGCCACAGTTATAAATATGGGATAAAACCATAAAGGCAACAAATATTTGGCAACTAAACAGAACTCCTTACACTATAAACACTGTATTGAAAAGAAGGGAAAAAACTATATAATACCCAATTGCTGTATCAGTGGGAAGGGGGAGGAGGTGGGGAAATGATGGAGGAGGATGAATATGGTGCAAATACTGTATACAGATGAATGTAAATGGAAAAATGATACCTGTTGAAACTATTCCAGGAATGGAGGGAGGGATGGATAAAAGAGAATAGTGGAGGGGACAAACTCAAATCTGATATATTTGATTATGGTAAGAACTTCTGTGGA